GGGCGGCCACTGGTCCTGCGCGATTTGGTGGCCGCGTGGCCCTTCCCGGTGCTCAACTTCCAGCGGCTCGTGGGGCGCCGGGAGCTGCTGCGCGATCACCCCTGCAAGCTGTGCGTGCAGGCCGTCATCCTGGCCGTGGTGGCGCAGCTGCGCCGAGACCTGGAGGAGCCGGGCAGGAATTCCAGGTGGGAATTTGGGAATTTTGGGATCTCGATTTTCTGAATTCTTGAGGGTTTTATTGATGGTTTTTCACTGGAGGAGCCATTCCAGGTGGGGTTATTGGGGATTTTGGGATGGGTGAGATCTTGATTTTCTGAATTCTTGAGGGTTTTCCTATTGGTTTTTCCCTGGAGGAGCCAGGATGAAATTCCAGGTGGAGTTTGGGGGATTTTGGGAGTTTGGAGATCTCAATTTCCTGAATTTTCGGGGGTTTTGTTGATGGTTTTTCCCTGGAGGAGCCAGGAAGGAAATTCCAGGTGGGGATTTTAGGATCTCAATTTGCTGAGTTTATTGATGGTTTTTCCCTGGAGGAGCCATTCCAGGTGGGAGTTTCAGGGATTTTGGGATGGGTGAGATCTCGATTTTCTGAATTTCTGAATTCTGATTTTCTGAAATTCTGGAAGAGCCATTCCAGGTGGGGTTTTTGGGGATTTTGGGATGGGTGAGATCTCGATTTCCCAAATCCTTTCGATCACCCCTGCAAGCTGTGCGTGCAGGCCGTCATCCTGGCCGTGGTGGCGCAGCTGCGCCGAGACCTGGAGGAGCCAGGCAGGAGCTCCAGGTGGGAATTTGGGAATTTTGGGATCTCAAATTTCTAAATTTATTGATGGTTTTTCCCTGGAGGAGCTGGGATGTGATTCCAGGTAGGAATTCAGGACGTATACAATTTCATGTGTACAATCTGCCCAAATTCTCATGGGTTTTCCTGATGGTTTTTCTCTGAAAGAGCCATTCCAGGTGGGGTTTTAGGGGATTTTGGGGGATTTGAAATCTCAATTTTCTGAATTCTCAGGGGTTTGATTGATGGTTTTTCCCTGGAGGAGCCATTCCAGGTGGGCTTATTGGGGATTTGGGATGGGTGAGATCTCGATTTCCCAAATCCTTCGGGGTTCTCCTGATGGTTTTTCCCTGCAGGGGCCAGAAGGCAGTTCCAGGTGGGGTTTTGGGAGTTTTGGGATGGGTGAGATTTTGACTTCCTGATTTCTCAGGGGGTTTCCTGATGGTTTTTCCCTGGAGGAGCCAGGATGAAATTCCAGGTGGGGTTTTGGGGGATTTTGGGATGGGCGAGATCTCAATTTTCCGAATTCTTAGGAGTTTTCCTGATGCTTTTTCCCTGGAGGAGCTGTGGTGGAGTTCGAGGTGGGGTTTTGGGAATTTTGGGATGGGTGAGATCTTGATTTTCAGAATTCTCATGAATTTTATTGATGGTTTTTCCCTGGAGAAGCCATTCCAGGTGGGGTTTTTGGTATTTTGGCCTCAATTTCCTGAATTCTCGGGGGTTTGATTGATGGTTTTTCCCTGGAGGAGCCGGGCAGGAGTTCCAGGTGGGATTTTTGGGAATTTTGGAATTTTGGGATCTCGATTTTGTGATTTTTCATGGGTTTTATTGATGGTTTTTCACTGGAGGAGCCGGGCAGGAGTTCCA